TGCCTGGTTTCCACCTCCAATTTATCAAGCTGTAGCCCGGAGCTCTTCTATCTTTCCAGGCATGTCTTAGGACCCCTTACACAGTCACACACTAAATTACGCAGATAACAGCCTAACCAGAGGGGCTTCCCACGTGCAACAGGGGGCTTTGTTCTCCCTCAGAGAGTAGCAGGATCTTTGAGATCTACCACTTGGCCTGTTTTAGGATAACTGCCTGACCTCTGTAAGATTATGGGCCCAGTGGTTCATATCAGTCTATCTAGCCAGTACTAACAACTAACAGCATCATGGGTGATGGGAATGGAAAGCCGACGTTAAAAATAAATACAAACAAAACAAAAACGCCTCCTAATTCTATGTAACAGGAGACAAGCCAAGTAGCAGGCTCACTCCCCGACCTTCACAAGGGAGGGTGGCCTGGGAAAAAAGGCAAAGTTCCTTGAGAAACACCTAGCCTGCCTGTGAGAACTGCGGACTACATCCTTGCCTCTTTCCTCCATGCTGCACAAAGGTGTTTTCTTGGCTGTCAACAACTCTCCCCTTTACCATGTTAAAGGAAAAACGATAGCAAGTGAGTAACACTATCCAACCATCAAAGTATATTTCAGAGGGTTTCAGTACCCTTCTGTTTACTAAAAAAGGAGAAACAGGGGCCAGCCCAATGGCGTGGTGGTTAAGTTCACCGGCTCCACTTCGGGAGCCCGGGATTTGCGGGTTCGGATCCCGGGTGTGGACCTACACACCGCTTATCAAGCCATGCTGTGGCAAGCGTCCCACATATAAAATAGAGGAAGATGGGCACAGATGTTAGCCCAGGGCCAATCTTCCTCACCAAAAAAGAGGAGGACTGGCAACAGATGTTAGCTCAGGACTAATCTTCCTCACCAAAAAAAAAAAAAAGGAGAAACAGACTAAGCACCCGTCACTATCAGAGCCAGTTATGGCCAAAAACTGGGAACATGTATAGTATACCATACTTCCATTTTCTAGGATGAGTATTTGAGTTTGACATAAGAGAGACTCATGAGAAACTGATGGTTTTAAATTTAACATGTTATATTTCACTCAAGATGGTTACCCTGCTTTCTCCAGACATTTCTATGTAAGTTTTAGTGATGCATTTAAACTTAAACTTAACGAAATTCTCATCAAGTCATTCCCCAGTGTAAAACCCTTCATTAGCTTCCCATGCCCTTAGGGTCAAGTCTAAACTCTTTACTGTGTGGCCATATCTTGCACCACTTGTTCCTCACTCTACACACTGCCTCTATGCAGCAGATGAACCCTACTATATGCCTTTTCATGGGCACACCTCTCCAGCCAGGTTAGGTGTCCAGAGGGCCTGTTCTTTTCATCTACAGCAGCCACACATTTGTAATCACTTAATTATGTGAAATAATTTGGGGGAGGGCCATGTCTAACTTGTTCACTACTGCGTCCCCAGGATCTAGCATATAGAAGGCACTCAAAATGTTGTGTTTTTTTGTTTTTTTTTTTTTTTTTTTTAAAGATTTTATTTATTCATTTTTTTCCCCCCAAAGCCCCAGTAGACAGTTGTATGTCATAGGTTCACATCCTTCTAGTTGCTGTACGTGGGACTCGGCCTCGCGTTGGACGGAGAAGTGGTGCCTTGGGGCGTGCCCGGGGTCCGAACCCGGGCCGCCAGCATCAGAGCGTGTGCACTTAACCGCTAAGCCACGGAGCCGGCCCTCAAAATGTTGTTGACTGAATGATTGGCTTCTTGCTTTTTGGGGTGTATGGGAATTTAATCTTAGTTATATGAGTTGAGTCCACTTTGAAACTATGATAAACTATTACTTGTTCCCTTGAGATGAGCAATTCTTTGGATTTTGTCTTTGTTTTTAAGAGTTACATGAAGGAGTTTAGGAGCAAAAAGAAAGAGCCAAAAAGATTTTGTGTGTGGGCAGACCTGTGCTACTTCAGTCCCCAGGTGAATCAGCATGGCCTGAGATGGGGAGAGGCTTCTTCTCCCATCTTTAATTGGAAGCCATCAGTGGGGCCAGCCTGGTGGCGCAAGTGGTTAAGTGCACGCGCTCCGCTGCGGCGGCCTGGGGTTCGCCAGTTCAGATCCCAGGCGCACACCAATGCACTGCTTGGCAAGCCATGCTGTGGCGGCGTCTCATATAAAGTGGAGGAAGATGGGCACGGATGTTAGCCCAGGGCCAGTCTTCCTCAGCAAAAAAAAGAGGACGATTGGCAGATGTTAGCACAGGGCTGATCTCCTCAAAAAGGGGAAAAAAAAAAAAACAGAACCCATCAGTGGCAACAGAAGGCTACTTCAAATGACTTTGCAGGATGGACACAGTTCAGGAAGAGCCATAGCCAGAACTGAGCAGTAATGGTAGGCAATGGAGCCAACAGGTGGCCAGGTGGAATAGTTTGCAAGCATATATGAGACTCTTTGGTCTCTCCCCCGCAAAAAACAGGAGCAGGGCTAAGGTGCAGCAATCAAGTCCCAAGTCAATTTAGCACTCTACCTTGGGATTCAAGGTTAACATGAGCTTATTTTCTCTCCGTGACTGAGAAAACCTGGACATGCTGGTTAATGTGACACAATCACATACACCTCATAATAGAAGCATGGGTAGCACCTGTGTTGTGACTCGACTAGTTAGGCTTCTCTGTTCCAGCACAAACCTTGTCCATATTTGGTTTCAGAAGTTCCATGTAAGTTCCAGTCAAAATTATTCGCACAGATAGACTCTACATAAGCGCGACCCGTTGCATAAAATAGGATTTCTTCGTTTCTATTCATCTTCATTTTTTTCCTAAGAGACGAAACGTGAGACTTAACACTGAGAACATTCCTTTCCCACTCCAGTTAATAACATTAATCCCAACTAAAGTCTAATCGTCTTAAAATTTCATTCCACCAGCTTTCAGAATGGAGCTACTAATTGTAAGGCAACAAGTATAAAAACATAAATTTATGAAAACTTTTAAATGATAAACATGTGAAATCACTGAATTGTAAAAGTAAAGCTGAAAGAGAGAAGCTCGAGTTTACATAATAAAAAACAACTCCAGATTGAAGAAACTGTTGACTACTAAAATAAACCAGTGCATACAGATCTTGAAGGACAGATCTTAACTAATCGTTTCAAACTTTACGTAAAGAAACCTGATAATGTGGCCACCAACCTTTCAAAGGTATTCCAGAGCTTTATATTCCGGATCTTCTTTATCTTTTCAATCTTGAAATGTTTCATGGAAGCTTTAAAACGTTCACTTATTTCGGCATACCCTGGATACTGGTTACGAATCTCAAACAACTGAAAAATTTTAAAAGTATAGAAATGTGAAACAGGAAACATTAAAAGCACGAGAAGCCCACATGTGTGGCCCCCTATGCCATGGAGTATCCTCAGCAGGCCTCTGACAGCAGGTGGAATAAGCTGGCCTTAGGGCTTGCACATCTGGCAGTTCATTCCAATAATGAGCTAGATGGCACTGGGCCTGTCCGTTCAGGCTGACTGAAGGCTAACAAAGCATTATGCCTACAGGGAAAGGGAGGCCCCCCCCAAGGTGTCTGATTTAGTCCAGTGACCCAGCAAGCTCCTTGCCTACAGCTAGGGCTGGGGCAGAGGCACTGGAACGTGCCCAAGGAGCCCATGCAGAGCGGCCTGCACCCAAAGGTGGGTGGCTAAACGATGTGGAGGCTAAACAATCGAGGAAGAGTCTTGCCCCAACCAGGCCAGGTGATGAGGTGAACCACAATTTGTTTGACTCCCACAGAAACCTGCTTTTGAACTCCAACTAATGGACGAGTTTCTGAGTTCCAGTTTTCTCGTCTGTTAAGTAGAGAATCTAATATGTATCTCACAAGGTTGTGAGGATCTGCCCCAACAAGATCATGTGTGGCTGGACTCTGGAAACAATGAGGTGCCCTGTAGCGGGTAGCTGTTCTCTGGGAAAGTGACATGATCACCATTTAGATGTCTGCCTTTGAATCTTGATTCAAGAGTTCTGCAGAAGTCATTCATTCATTCATTCATTCATTCATTCAAATACACATATCTTGTAGCAAAGTATTTTTTTCCACCTTTAAACAATTCACTCACCAAAAAAGTAAAAACCAAGTACCTCATATCCATTCGAGGATGGGCAGCCCATGTCCAACTGAGGATGAAATGTCGAGGTTAAAGGCTCTAATTGGGTCTGCACTGGTCGACGGCTACAAATAAGAGAGAGTAAGAATTCACTTGGCTCCCTGGTCCACGCGTCCAAATGACTTTCTGTCCTTAACTTCCAGCCACTAAGCCAAGGTTTCTCAGAGAATCTTCTCTTTGGACTACATCCCTGAATATTGCTGGTATAGATGTACCAGTAATCATGCTATTAAAAAATGCAGTAATTATTCATAATTTGATAAACCAATTAGATGTTACTTTCCTATTGATTTAAAATGTGAAAGCATTGATTCTTTTTGATATTTCTGCTCGACCTTCAAAGGTCCTAATGTGTTAGCATTAAGTAAGTGTGTCTTACAGCTTCTTTGTCAAATGATAAACATTTAAGTCTATTAGGGGTATGGGGAAAGAATTTTGTCTTTCCTGTTGAACTGTATTTCAGGGTAACCATACATTTTGGGGTTCTCTACATGACCCCTCCACTAACAAGTACATAAGGGTTTATTGTACAGTTTTCTCTAGTTTGTTTGAAATTTTCCATAATGAAAAAATTGAATTTAAAAATTGCTTTAAGGAAAATAACTCTTTAAAGATCCTCTTTTGTAAAATGAAGATTCTTTTGGAATGAGAGAGATTGGCTCCAATTTATCTGTATTTTAAGCTCAGATTTCTATACTGGATTTGTATAGTGCAGAGAAGATTAAATTAATGTGTGTTAAGGTGCCCACCAACAATCAAGCGTGCTAGAGCTCATTTCTCTTCAGACTGTTCAGCATATACTCATAGCCCTTACTCCATCTTAAAGCAAGTGGGTCTCCTCTGGGCTAGTAAAAGCAGGATTAAAGATGGTTCTCGACATGACCTCCCACTACCATGGTTTTCTCAATTCATTTTATTCGTTCACTCAGTTAGCTATCTATTTAGTATCACTATATACCATTTATTATGCAAAATATTTCAAAAGCTTTGAGAAGCTGATAATTACAGAAGGTGGGGAAGAGTGGGAGGGCTCTTCTAGGGGAGACGGTTATGCAAATAACTGTATTACAAGGTAGAATGGGGTAAGTATGATAAGGGACTTACGAAGTGTTATTGGAGGGCCAATGAGAGGATTGGAGGACAGTCTCAAGTAAGGTTTGTATGGGAAAAGTGGCATTTGAGCTGGGCCATGAAAGATGCTGGATTCATATAAGTGATGGAGAGGAAGGTTCCCCAAGAAGGGGCAGAGCAAATGGAAAAAGCATAAGGCAACTGTGACATATGTAAATTATTGAGACAGACAATGAACTGACTACATGAGATATTTGGAAATGCCACAAACCAATTTCTTCCCTTGTAAATATATGTGCACAGAAAGAACCATCCAGCTCAAAGTCAAGAAGGTATACAGTCTGGGCCGGCCCTGTGGCTTAGCGGTTAAGTGCGCGCGCTCCGCTACTGGCCGCCCAGGGTTCGGATCCCGGTCGCGCACCCACGCACCGCTTCTCCAGCCATGCTGAGGCCGCATCCCACATACAGCAACTAGAAGGATGTGCAGCTATGACATACAACTATCTACTGGGGCTTTGGGGTGGGGGGGAAGGAGGAGGATTGGTAATAGATGTTAGCTCAGAGCCGGTCTTCCTCAGCAAAAAGAGGAGGATGAGCACGGATGTTAGCTCAGGGCTGATCTTCCTCACAAGAAAAAAAAAAAAGAAGGTATACGGTCTGGACAGTTTCTGCTGTCCAGAAAGGCAACAAAGTATGGTCTCAATGGTTGAGACTCAATGGGAGTATAAGAACTGTTAACATGTCAGAATACAGACTGCTTTAAGGAAATACAGTTTAAACAAAATTTTGTCGAGACATTGAGCCAGAACCATTTGAATGAATAAGTAGCTACAACGGTCTCATTAGTTCATGAATGAAAATGGCACCCCCATCCTGTCCTCCTGCTCTGCCTTTTTCCCTCACGTAACACTTATCACTAACTGAAGTAGTTACTCAGATTGTCTCGTCCACCAGAATGTAAGCTCCATGAGGCATGAACTTCACCTCTCCCAACCCTGCAATATTTTTACTTTATTAATTTGAATATTAGAAGAACTGGAAGAGATGTTAGATGGCTAGCCAACCTGATTAATTCTTGGGAGTTTGAATTAAGGAATTCAGAGAAAATTAGGCAGTAATGGCAGAAGGTAAAGCTAAAAGGATACGAAGATTGGAATTCTGAGGTTAAAATTGTCAAGCATTAGCCAAAGTGTTAGGAGATCTATAGATGCAGATGTAGATGTAGATATAGATATGGTCACTGAGTCTGTTAATAGCAGGGGAATAAAAATAATAAGAAGAAAAGCAGCTAACATTTACTGAACACCCTGATGTGCTGGCCACTGTTCTGAGGGTCTTGAATGTATTCATCAAGCAGCCTTGACGAATGTGCTAGTATTAAGCCCATTTTATTTTATTTTATTTATTTATTTTTTTGCTGAGGAAGATTTGCCCTGAGCTAACATCGGTGTCAGTCTTCCTCTATTTTGTATGTGGGTCGCTGCCACAGCACGGCCACCAACAAGTGGTGTAGGTCCACACCTGGGAACCAAACCCAGGCTGCCAAAGCAGAGTGCGCTGAACTTAACCACTAGGCCACAGGGCCAGCCCCTGGCCTATTTTATAGATGAGGGGATGCAGAGTGATTCATTTGTCCACATCCACACAACTCATGAGTAGAAGGCAGAATCTGAACCTAGGGATGTAGATCCAGGGTCTGGGCCATTAACCTGGTCACAGGTCAGGAGCTGTGAACCCAGGTTGCTCAGGTTCTGAAGCAGAACTGGAACTGACCCCGATTCCTGAGGCCCTGACAGAGCTGTGATCTTGTCCTTGGCTTCTTACAAAATGTCGCTTTCCTCATTACACCACGTTCATCCTTTTAGTAACTTCCCTTTTTCATGAAATACCTTAATTCTTACAACCAAAAGAACCTAATTAGAACACCTTAATTTTACACCTGCCTTGTGGTCTGTTTTACATAATCACACATCACCCAGAAAAAAAAAATCCAACTCCAAAAATGTTCATGAACAATGTAGATTTTACTGAGTTTCATGAGCAGACAGAGGAGAGTTACATCGAATCCCCCCACAGCAAAATTTCCTTTACAAATCCCCTTTAATCAACTTTTATCTTTCTCCAAAGCCCTTGCTCAGCCAGCTACATCATCCCTTGTTTCTTTCCCTTTCTCAACCTCCCACCCTCTGTAAAGCCACTCAGCAAAACTAAAGATACACAGAAGAACTCACAGCAAAACAAAAACCCAGCAATTGTACATTTGATTATTTTCCAGGCAAACCCCATTAAGCCAGCCATTCGCAGCAGAAGAAGATGAGGCCCAGAGAATTTAAGAGACTTGCCCAAAGTCCCCTGTGAGTTAGAGGGAAAGCCAGATTTCCTGCTCTAGGATTCTACTCATAGATAACACAAAAGGAAACTACAGTGTCATGCAAGCAGGGACATTTCAAGAGAACAGGATCCAGATTCATGAGTGACTCGGCGGGATCAATGCATGAACATCTCAAACATCTGCCAGCAAGCAGTGCTTCAGAACACTTACTCTGGCCTACTTTTAATCCGCTCCACATCCCAGTAAGACACAAATGTTGGCCTTCTGACGACATCCTTTTGGGTCTTGGAAGCTATGTTTGTCTGAATCATCCCTTTAGACCGAAAAAGGAAAACAAACAAGAATCAAGAATTAGTCCCCGAAAATGATTTATTGTTAATTTTTCAGAAGCTAGTAATGCAGCAAATATTCATAACCGAAGTGTACATGTAGGAATAAAGAAAATCCTTCCGGATGAAAATTGCTCATGATAAAAACTAGTATCCTTCACTGCCCTTATTATAAGACCCAGTAAACAAAGAGGTAAATGAACAGTCTTGAAACCAAAGTCGGATGGTAAAGAAGAGAGCCAGGGCAGCCAGGTAACAAGACATCATCCATGTAAGCTGCCTTAAACCAGGCGGCAATGATGACGGTTGGAATGTGGTAGTGATATCTTCAGTTTTTTCCCACATCAAGTGTGAAATGTCATTTTCAATTCATGCATGTTGTAGACCTAGGTCCAAACTGCAGCCAGAGTGCTCTTTAAAAAGTAAATCATTATACATGGCTAGTGAGAATGTAAAATGGCACAACCACTTTGGAAAATAGTTTAGCAGTTTCTTACGAAGTTAAACATACACTGCCTATGTGATCCAGCAATCCCACTCCTTGGTATTTACCCAAGAGAAATCAAAACCCACATCCACACAAAGACTTGCATTTGAATGTTCCTACTAGCATTATTATAATAACCAAAAGGTGAAAACCCAAATATCCATCAACAGGTGAATGGATAAACAAACCATAGTATAGCCTTACAATGGAATATTACTCAGCAATGAAAAGGGAAGAACTACTATACATGCAACAGCATAGATGAATCTAAAAATCATTATTCTGAGTGAAAGAAGCCAGCCATATGCAGAGCACCTACTACAAGATTCTATTTATATGAATTTCTAGAATAGATGAAACTAACGACAGAAGTAGGGGAGTGGAGTGGGGGAGACTGTAAATGGGCATGAGGAAACTTTTTGGACTGATGGGAATGTTCTGTATCTTGATTAGGATAGTATTTCCATGCATTTGTCAGCACTCATCCAACCATACACTTAACATGGATGCATTTTATTGTAGCAATTATGCCTTGGAGTAGTTGTCATAAAACAAAATAAATATAAACAACAAAAAGAACAAATCAGATCATGCCACAACTCTGCTCAAAACCTTCCTGTGGTTTCCAGCTCATAAAATATCCAGGTTTCTATGTCTGCTCTTGTCTCTTACAGACCTTCTTGCTGTTCTTGGAAACCTCAAGCTTGTCTGCAGCTTACAGCCTTGGCACCAGCTCTTCCCTCTCCTGGAGCGCCCTCCTCCCCATGTGCATGGGCTGCGCCCTCTCTTCCAAAGTTTCCTCCTCGAATAAAAGTAGGCACTCGCTCTCCCCTGACTCCTCCATTCTCTCGCTGCTTCATATTATTGCCCCATAGCTTTTATCATTTTCTCAAATTGCCTGGTTTGCCAGCACCTAGAATAGTGCCTGGCACACAGCTGGCACGCCAACACTAGCTTACTGAGTTAGAGAATAGAAGAAATAGAGCAAAATAGTCTAGAACACTGCAAACTGCTCTGAACTAGTATCTATGAACCAAGTGAACAAAATTACTGGTCAAATAAACAAGGTACATTGGTTCTCATCTCTCCACCACCCTTTAACATTGTCAGAAGAATTGAATACCACCAAAGGAAAAATTTTTTGATTTATTTTTAATTTCATTACCTAACAGAAGAGATTTTTATTTTTATCTACTGCCTTGAATTCTTGGTCCACATGTATACATTGCTGCCCTTCTCACGCACATTAAATTTTTTAAAAAATCTTTTCCATTTTAAATATAACATATAAACAGAAAGGTTCAGAAACATAAATTTGGGGTTCTGCCTTTTTCATTTAACAGTATCAAATTTTGCTTTCACTATATTGTTTTCATAACCATAATTTTTAACAACTACCCAATACTCCACTGAAATTTAATACTCTGATTTGTTTAGTCACTACCCTACTGGTCCCTGCTGTTCCTCTATTTAAGTACTTTAGATATGGCTTCAATAAAGATCTTCATGCCCATAGCTTTTATTTTTCCCCCTTCTGGTGAATTATTTCCTTAGAAAGATTCCTGAGAGGATTAAAGAACAAGCATATTTTAATATCTCTTGATATGTATTACCAGGTCGCTTTCCAAAATACTTGGTATAATGGTCCTTCAAAGTTCCATTACTTAACACAGTAATTGGTACAGGGCTCAAATCTCAGGTGCCACTTGGGAATGTAAAGGAGCTAAGAAAGTCTCCTTTACTTCTCTGAAAGACTTGCAGGGCTGGTCCTGAAAGGGCAAGTATCTGACCATATGCAGGGGCATCCCAGGGTGTAGCCGATGGGACAGTACATTCAAAGGGAGGGCACTTCCCACCTTGATTTCTTACTAAATACAGCAGACAGATTGCTAGAAGCTGAACATAAGATTTTCCCATGGTGGCTCAAATAAACATGGCAGAAGGCAAAGTATTTGGTCAATGTGATGGATAAAACCATTGACCTAGATGAGGAAGCCTAAAAGGAACAGCAAGGTTCTAAACTTCTGAAGGCACCCACAGGCCCAGGGTCTCTATTGCAGTCACCGGAACCTGGAAATCCTGCCTCAGCCTGGGAAGCGGCCCACCCAGAATCAGAAACTTAGAATAGCAGAGCTGGACAGAACCCACAGGGACCACTCAGCCCAGTCCCCCCACTTTACAGATAAGGAACTGAGGCCTAGAGAGGCCAGGTGCTGTTCCCAGGGTTGCACAGCTACTCTGTGTCAGGGCCAAGGCTCTAGAGCACAGGTCTTCTGATCGCCACTGGCTTCCATGCTACCAAACCGCTTGACTTGCTAAAAAGAACCCTAACGTTGAGTGTAGCATGCACATCTGCTCTGCTCCCACTCCCTGCATGTACATCGCATGCTGGATTCAAACCACAGGCACCAGTGCCAAACACAAAAACTTACCTTGGAAACTCAGCTCGTAGTGCCGTGAACCCGCGTGAAATGGCACCACTCCTCTCGGACAGCACTGAAAGAACGATTCCAGGTATGAAGAGTCGATGCTCGAAACTTGCGGATTGTCTGTCTAATTTGAAAAAAAAAAAAAAAAAAAGTAAAGACTTCAAGGGAGGCCTTTAAGAAATCTCTACCGTTATATCTTACATAATTTTATTTTATTTTAGCCATGGGATTTGAAGAGGAACACATCTCGCCTCCCAAACCAGATAGTAAAGGCTTCCAGGTGGGGGCCATGCCACTCCCTTTTGTAGTCTTCTCCATCACGGGGCTAGGAGAGAGCAGTCTACTGCAGAAACTGACTATATGCTTGGTGGACGCCTGAAAAATATAGCTCTTTGCAATATTCTTTTCACATCTTCCATAAAATGATGCAAGTGTACAGATCAGCTTGTACCCACGGCACACACATCATGTCTGCACTGGCTGTCTAACAGAATCCAACACTCTAGCATGAAGGAGAACACCATGGCTAGCTTAGCCCCTCACCTGATGAGAAAGCACAGTTGAGAGCTGCAGTGAAGGCAGGCAAAGCTCCACGAGGTGACCTGCTGTCCCAAAGCAAGTGACATACCCCTTCTCCTCTGCCCTGAACCAGCAAATACAATTGACCGAGCCTCCACTCAGTCAACAACATGGAAAAAGCACCTGGATCTGCACTGACTGGGGCTATAATGAAAGGGGCGAGGAACACCCCAACTGAAAAGATATAATCTCTGGTCTCAAGGCATGAGACCAGAAGGGTTCAGACCATGAAGGGTCTGAACATCAGAATAGGTGGGTGCAGGGAAGTATGCTGATTCTAGCAAGGGGGCAGGCTAGGCCACCACTCCACTGTCCTTACCCTATGGCAGGGGTGGCTGATCAGGGCAGACTGGATATAAGCCCCTAATGGTAGGGGTTCCCAACATTAATGGTGAGGAGATACTTTTTCCTCGTGATTTAGAATGGAGGATCTAATGACAGAAAAATCCTGCTGGCAGCCGGTGGTGGGAAGGGGCTCCCAGTCCATTTAACGACATTCAGGACACTGCAGCTTTCAGCTACACCCACCTCCCAGCCCCTGTCCCCTCCCCATATATGCCTGCTGGATGTAGCGGGAAGCCAACAGATTGAAAGCACCCAGGGAAAATGTCCTGGATGGAGAAGAGCCTGAACTAGGTCTCTTTAGCCTGGAGAGGAACGTGGTGGGGGCAGAAAAGCTGGATTCAAATATTTGCACATAGTGCAAAGTGGGGATAAACTTGAATCTGTTTCTGGAGGTAGAAGCAGGACAAATGGGAGGAAGGGACAAGGAGGCTCACTTTAGCAGAACTTTCTAAACTACAGCATCCAACAATTAAGTCACAACATGAAGATGTTTGTTGCAACAGCTGCTGGGACATTATCTATCAGGATGATTGTAAAAGAGATTGCCATCTGGGGTGGGCAGTAGGAAACTAAGTGTCCATGATGAGATGATGCGCTGGTAAACCATATGCCTTCCTCAGACCCCAAAGAGCAGCGGAAGTGGGCAAACACCTGCGAGCACAGGGTGGGGCGAGGCACCCAGTTTGAAGACTTAAATCGCTGCCCTAATTTCCCGTTCCCACAGCTGAAGTCTTGTATCCATCAACTGCCTGCTCAGCTCTGCAGAACCCCGTTTCTGGCTGGAAGCAATCTACAAAGCCAGAGCCTTCCAACTTTCAACGTAAGCTTGACTCCCCCAGGATCTTGTTAAAATGCAGATTATGATGCAGGGAAAGTAGGAGAGTTTTAGATTTGGCATTTTGAACAGCTCCCGGGTAATGCTGATGCTGCTGGTCTGTGGACCCGACTTTGACTAGCAAGGGTCTAGACCAGCACGATTCACTAGAACTTTCTGCGATGATGGAAATATTCTCTGCATTGTCCTATATGATAGCCACTAGCTATACGTGGCTATAGCACACTTAAAATGTGACTAGTGCAACCACGGAACTGAATTCTTAATTTTATGTAAATTTAATTAATTTAAGTTTAAAATTAAATAGTTGCACGTGGCTAGTGGTTGTCGTACTGCACAGAACAAAGGCCATTAAATCAGTGTCTGAGCATCTGGACAGCCTAGCATAGTTCACGCGGACCTTCCTCTGGCCCTGCCCTCACACTGTACTCCAGTTCTGAGTGAATGAATGAATGGTAGAGCCTTCAATCCTTTATTCTCCCAGAAGTCTTGAATTTATATCTCAGTTGCAGTAACCAGGTCTTGGCTTTTCTCCTGTGCCTACATTACTGCCTTGATCTTGGCTTTCTAGAGCTATGGCTTGCTCTTGCCCCAGGCAATTCTCTCAGGCCATGGACTCCTGCCCCTCGGCGCCAGCTTTGACAGCTCCTAAGCGTCGCTACCTGCTGGTAAAGATCTCCGAGGGTCTGGCGCTGCACCCCCTGCCAGATGCAATTCCCATGACTACCAGGCTTTGCACTCAGTCAGTCCTGCTGCAACTCTGTCCTGCACCACTGCTGCCCAACTGCCCGTCTATTCTATCATCATCTCTCCCGAGACCACGTCCTCTCCGTGTCTACCGTCTATGTAGGTACCAGTCCTGGCTAAGCACCTTAATTCTCATATATCAATTCTACCTTCCAGAGAGTGCATTGTCAAAGCATATGCACCTACCCTTTGTTGGCAAGTTTCTGTTCTCCCAGTTCCTACTAGGGAGGTTCCTAACCCGGAAATCTCAGTTGCCCAACTCTTATTAAAAATTCAGTTACAAGAAATAAAACCTGTAGGGTCCTATCTGAAGGCTGTACAGTCCATTCTTTTCTCTAAATATTCTAACCTGTACACTGGATCAAACTAGGCCACCAAAGAGGTACAAACGTGGACCATAACACATTGAACTGCGAAAGAGACCAGGGTGCTCCTTACGTTTGCGGTTCGAATCTCCTAGAACCACCATTTTTATTTTACTTGAACAGCCTGTAATGAAAACACCAAACTTAGGGCCTGTTTTCCTTTCTTTTCTTTTTTTTTTTAAACAGCAAAAGAGCCAACTCAACTTAGATAATGATGGGTCTAATTAATATGAAACCGTAAGCGTTTATTCACATCCTGAAGAACATTTCTTATAGCAGACACATGCCACAGATTAAATGAAAACAATAACATTTTATGTGTTTGCAGGTTGAAATTTACATTCTAAAACTTTGCATTTAACACAGACTGAATGTCCCAGGGAGAACTTTGTATTAAATAAGTTTTATGAGGATGTTTCTTGATGATTTACTAGGGAACATGAGTGACGGAACTTCTGTAAATTTAAATATCATCTATTCCCCACTCAGAGTTCTCTTTGGTCTCTGGGACCCTGATGTCACTAGAATGCAAATATTTTCCAACTTTTTTCACTTATCTTACTGAAAATTGCAAGTATTTGACATAAGAACCATTGAGACCTATAGGTTATTTTTATTTTGACCAAGGCTAATCAATTTGAGTTTATTTTTTTTGTGTGTGAGGAAGATCAGCCCTGAGCTAACATCCATGCCAATCCTCCTCTTTTTGCTGAGGAAGACCGGCTCTGAGCTAACATCTATTGCCAATCCTCCTTTTATTTTTCCCCCCAAAGCCCCAGTAGATAGTTGTATGTCATAGTTGCACAGCCTTCTAGTTGCTGTATGTGGGACGCGGCCTCAGCATGGCCAGAGAAGCGGTGCGTCGGTGCGCGCCTGGGATCCAAACCCGGGCCGCCAGTAGTGGAGCGCACGCACTTATCCCTAGGCCACGGGGCCGGCCCATCAATTTGAGTTTAACTTCTCTTTCCACAGGCACCTCACACAATCACTTTTACGGAACTGCATTTGGACATCATCCTTGGCTTCAACTTAAAAGACAGTGTACAAAGCTCAACGTCACAGGAGCTTTCACACTGAGGTGCTCCACAGAGAGGAGAGCAAAGAGGAAAGAGACCGGGCTCTGAGCTCCTACCCCATTTCCACGGGGCAGCTCTGCTTTACCCTAGTTTGCTCATTTAGGTTCTGTGGAAGATTGCTTGATAACATGTATCTGTTGCTTAAACAGTTGGGAAACCCCTGTGCTCCTGGAGTGACGGCAGGACTGTTGCTGAGGACCTCACTCACTGCAGCATATGTGGTCCCCTCCGTGTGGCCCCACAGGAGATGTTTCTCTCAGGCCCCTCTAACAGGAAAAAGCAGTGAGTAACTTTTGTGTTCTTCCCACAGAGGCACAAGGAATCTTGCCACAGATTGTGTTTCTTTGTTTGCTTTGGCAGCTAGGCAGCTCAGAGCCAGACTTATGGCCCATCGATTTCTAACTGTAGACCCTTATGCTGGCATTCCTCGTCCCTGCTTTGGCTTTGGCTTCATTTTATTTATTTATTTATTTTTTATTTTTTAGAAATACTTTCTTTTTTTTTTGGGGGGGGTGAGGAAGATCAGCCCTGAGCTAACATCCATGCTGATCCTCCTCTTTTTGCTGAGGAAGACCGGCTCTGAGCTAACATCTATTGCCAATCCTC